TATATGTTATTAATAAAACTTTTTTATTTTTTAATTAATTAATAAAAAATTTTATAATATTATAAATAAAATTATTTCTCTATTATAGTAAAATTTTGAAATATTATATTATTTTAAAAAAATATACTTGTATATATAATAAACTTTACTTAGATAGATTAAAATTTATTTAGGTAGTACAAAAATGAAGAATTTGATTAATTAATTTTATAAACCTATTAGTTAATTTTATTTTATAATTTTATATTCTAATCTTTAAAAATTTATAACTCAATGAATTTTTAATTTATTTTAATAATTTTATTATTATTAGAATTAGAAAGGCCTATTCTACAACTTTTAGTTAATTATTAAAATTAGTTTACTTAATATAATTTTTATAAAATTAAATATAAAAAAATTTATTATTAGGTTTATATATAATTTTAAAATACTTGTTTCTACTTTTAAATAATTTCAAAAATAATTAATTTTTTGTAAATAATGATATGTATCAATTTAAATTATTTTAATTATAATTAATTTTTTGTTAATATTGATATATATTCATTTATTAATATATATTAATTTTAATATATATTAATTTATAATTACTCTGCTAATATATATTATTATATTTTAATCAATATATATTGATTTTTTGATATAAATTGATTAGTAATTATTTAAAAATTTTTCTAATACTACTACTTAGAGAGTTAACAATTTGACCACTTCACTAGGTTGTTATACCACATATATTAGTAAATTTGTAAATTATATATATATATCTTTAATAATTTTGAAATTTTATAATTAAATATTAATAATTTTGTATTTGTTAGAATTTTTTTTTTTTAACTAATTATTATAATAATAAAATTATTCAAAATAAACTAATAAATCAAAAGTTATTTATATTGTCAAATAATTGATTTTATATTTTATTGTATACTAATTATTTATATTTAAAAACATATAATATAAAAAAATTTTTACAGTATTTTATTTTTTATTAAGCATAATTCAAACAATAATAATTGTATAAAAATTTATGTTTATTAAAAAGTTTTTTTTAGTAAAATTTTAACCTAATTACAATATTCCTATATCTTTTTTATATATAAAATAAATTATAATTTTTGCAAAAAAACTTTTAAAGTAATTTATTTTAAAATAACTTATTTTCAAAAACATGAGAAGCTTACTGCAATTGCATTATATGCGATGCAAGCCCTTTTTGGTTTTTTTTTCTGATCGTATCACGTTACATTAAAGCATAGCAAAAATTACTGCGAAGTCTAAAAATAGTGCATATAAACAATAATGTACATTACCACTAACCCTAAATATTCACGACTTTCCGTAGATTTTCTGCAAAACTACGAATACAAAATTCATATCTTATACCTGATCTAAAGATTTGATTGGGCAACGAAAATTTGTTAGGTGTAACACTAGTTCTAGGATGAAAGTTTATGCTAACGCTAAGGCCTAAATTCATCATAATAACAATCCGTCTGTCCGGTAAAAAAAAATTCCATGCAAAAAAAACAAATAAAAATTCTGATAAACATCAGATGAGTACTCACAAAGATAAAATTCATAAATTAGAAAAAAAATTGTGACAAGATTATAACATTGTCAATAACTAGTTCTCTAACGCTCAATAATTAATTTTAAGTTATGAGAAAACTTACGTGTATGTGAGAGAGTTTGAAATAGAGTTAAGAACTGTCTTTGAAATTGCAAGTTACACATTATACATTATACATGAAAATGGGTAATAATCTAATAATCACGAGATGATAAATCTTTTGAGTCATTACAGCATTACGTAAATATTTATCGTTATGAGGAGAATCTAAACATTTACAAGAACATGATCTGACAATCAGATCAGTTACATGAATACGTACATGAAATGTCAGACAATTTTGATTCTGACGACTTTTTTCCTATGATTGTCGACATTAAATCTCCAGGGTAGTATACTTGCCTAATTTATATAACATAATGTTTCACCGTCTTGCCTTAATGTTTACTTTTGTAAAGAATTTTTAAAAAAGTGTAACTTTGTAATATTTTACTATATATATTATACATATAATATATGTATACGTATTATATATATATACGTATTATATATATTATATTTATGTATTACTAAATGTTGAAACAAAGAATATTTTAATACGTACGTACAAAGTATTGATTAATAATATATATTATAAATTATATACATACGTAAGTATTGATTAATAAATGTTATAAGTTATATAAATTTCTATATGTGCTGTGCATCTATATCAATATCTATATCAATATCTATATCAAATATCTGATATATATAGATTTTATTTATTATTTATTTTTTAAATAACGATAATGATATCAATAACATTAAGCAGAATCCGATAAAATTTATAGAAGACGATAAGCATAGAAATAAAGTTTTGGTTAGTGTTAGTGATAATTAGGGGATTTTTTTTTTTTTTTTGAATACCTTAAAAACATGTTTCCAGTAGGAACAATGGCAGAAGAGAATGGGATTACCACCTAAATTTAAAAGGTAGGTTTCATAGACGGATTTTCATTATCATTTATACACACATTGAATTTTTTCAATTTAATTGGTCAATTACAATAATCAACACAATATAACAAATTCTAACACGCGGACGGTTTTGTGTTTTGGTTTGTTTCTACTTCATACCTAATTCATACCCAATTCATACCCAATTCATACCCGTACTCGATAATTAAAAATAGGTCATTCGGCCCTAACAATCCGATTATTCAATTGGACTTTGGGTGTACGACATTTTGTTACAGATACTAATTCTGGAGGTGCTATTGACCATCGGAAATGCTTCGCATGATTCAACAATTACGTAATACAAATAAAACTCCTATCAAATAAAACGTACGCAAGTACATTCGACGTATTATCCGTATTTTAATACTATCGTAATACTCATTGATGTATAATGCAGGCTTGGAGATCTGATTCCTCTGACGCTGAACTAAATTATGCGCCAAATCATATTTAGTGAGTCATATAAATTGTCATATGATATGATTCCCCAAAAAAAATTTACTTCCCCCCCCAAAGAATTTACCTGTTTAAGATTTCGGTCCAATGACTTGTTTTTTCAATCCACTTTGCCAAACCTAAGTCGATAAACATTTCACAAATATCTAAATCAAGTACATTACTGTTGTATAAATACATATGATTACTATGATTGCAACATTAACACGTATTATTATTATTATATTTATATGTTTATAATTTATTATTATTATTATTATTATTATTATATATATATTATATATATATTTACTTGTTTGCCCCAAAATTAAAAAAACTTTTCATTTCTTTGATCCGTCTGATTCATCTTTCATCTCAAATAATATGTACCTAAGTTCGTGGTGGAGCTTCCCTTATTCTAAATCAAACTTATCAAAACAATCTATTAATTTTGAAGATAATATCCACCCTGTCGTCGAAGTCTCGGAAGCCATTTCTAATTCGCATCGAATTATGTCTACCTACGGTATTTCTCCGAAAAGTGACTCTACTATCATAAGTGAAACTGCTTCTGATATTTCGGGTGTGTCGACTTTTACCGACTCTACCTCTACCGCTATAATATCCCAAGATCTAAATACTGTTCATTTGGAAAGTCTCGAAGAACAAAAAATTTCTTCCTCCTACTCTTCACATACTTCGCATACTTCACATACTTCATATACTTCACAAACTTCACATACATCATATACATCAAGTATTTCAAATACTTACTTGATCAAAAATGATGTTGAAAAGAAACAAAAGCACAAAGTTAAAAAATTAGTATTTCCTAACTCTCAAGATGAAATAATATTAAATTCAAATCCATTTGATACCAATACTGTATACTCTGAAAGACGTACTATATATGTGATCCGGGAGGAACCTGTTCGAAAATCTACTCGGAATTCCTGGTGGTTATTCAGAGATGGAAGTAGCAATAATAATAACAACAACAATAATAATAATAATAATAATAACAATAATAATGATGACGATGATAATAATATCAATAATAATGGTTCAGGCGAGAAAAAATCGGAAAATGTTGACAAAGTTACTTCATCTAATACTATAAACTCAAAGGTTTCTGCTGTCGACAATTCCTCAAATCTGTCTGAACAAATTATTAAACCTGATATCAATAATTTGAAGAATCCAACAACTAATGATGTGTCACCTATTTCAAAGGAAAGAAAATTTTCCTCTTTAGAGAGATCAAAAAAATCTTCTTCTTCTGAACCAAAACGACGGTCTTTACTCGGTACTTGGTTCTCTTCTTCAACTGATATGTCGGAAAATATTTCTGAAAATGATTTTATCAAGGCATCTGATGTTACTTCGTCGACTAAAGCTCTTTCTAAGTCTCCAACTTTATCCGATTTAACAACTTCAACCGTTCATAATATACCTTCTTCAACTTCAAATACTTCCACTCCTTTAAATAATGACCTTTCTTCTTCACAAGGCTCCACCACATCTCAAAAGTTAGATTCTTCAATTAACAAGTTATCCTCAATTCAACATTCAACTGTTGATGATCCTCCAAATCCATTAGTTCAAACTTTACCTAAAAATAGTTCTCCTTGGATATATTTATTTGCGACTAATCGTTCAGGTGTTCCTAAAATAAGTCAGAATTTAGATACTAAATTAATCACTAATAGTGAAATTGATTCTCAATCTAGATCTTCAGAAATGACTACTAAAGTATCAATTTCAACTGATGTAGATAAGAAATCAAGAGTCTCAACTGATGTAGATAAGAAATCAAAAGTTATTACTTCAACCGATGTAGATAAGAAATTAAAAGTTATTACTTCAACTGATGTAGATAAGAAATCAAAAGTTGTTACTTCAACTGATGTAGATAAGAAATCAAAAGTTGTTACTTCAACTGATGTAGATAAGAAATCAAAAGTTACTACTTCTAATGATGTAGATAAAAAAGTTTCTATGTCTCCATCGGTCTCTCCTAAACTAAAACCTTCAATGGTTAAACTTGCTCCTGTTAGCATAGTTTTACCAAAATTTGACGAATTTGTTATAAATAAACCAGTAAAACATCCTGATGCTCCTGTTCAAAAGGCTCTTCATGCTATAAATTCTTATTTATTTCCACCTGACAAACCTATTGATGGATCTTTACCAAAGTGGTTAGATGAAATTACAAGATCAACTATTGATGTTAAAAGAATAGCTATTATCGGTGTTCATGGTTGGTTTCCAGCAAAATTATTAAGAGTTGTCGTAGGTGAACCAACTGGAACTTCTCCAAAGTTTTGTGACATGATGGCTAAAGCCGTTTTGGGTTATTTATCTCAACATAATATTTCTTTACCAAGTGATGCAATCACTTGTATACCACTTGAAGGTGAAGGAACGATAGAAACTCGAGAGCAATTATTACATAAAAATTTATTATATAACAAGACTTGGTGTGAAGCTCTTACCTTGGCTGATGTCGTATTTGTTGCAACTCATTCTCAAGGCACTCCTGTTGGTACAATTCTTCTTTCAAGACTAATTAAAGAACGTCTTGTGAATCCTAAACAACAACGTATATGTCTATTGGCTATGGCTGGAATTTCTCATGGTCCATTTCCATATTTAAAAGATCATTACATAATAAAATACTTTGTGGGTGCTGGAAGAAGTCCTGATGTTGATGCTTCTAGAGAGCTTTTTGAATTTATGGATTCTGAAAGTGCCGTTGCTAAAAAATATCGGGATGCTCTTAACATTGTTACTCAGAAAGGTGTAAAATTGGTATATGTTGCTTCTATGGATGATCAAGTAGTTCCAGTATGTACCTTTATATACATTATATATCTATCTATATAAATATTTTGTTCGTTTTTTTTTTTAATCTAAACAAAAAAAATTGTTTTTTATTTGAATAGTTATATTCTGGAATATTTATCGGAGTAGATCATCCGTCAATTATGCGCGCAATTTATGTTGATGGTCCATTATATCAAGAAAACGATTTCTTAATAAATCTTATTATATTTGCTATAAAATTACGAAATGCAGGTATATTGGATAATGGATTAATTACTCAATTAAGTGAGGTTATAATCGGTTCATTGTACGGTGAGGGCCATTCAACTTTATACAATGAAATTGATGTTTACACGTAAGTATTTATCAATCATTTTTTGATACTTGTTTAATCATTTTCAAATATTTATAATTTTATTATTATTATTATTATTATTGTTGTTATTACAATAGACTTGCTGTACGGTATCTTTTTGAAGTACCATCATTGGGAACAAGCGAAGTAAAACTCTCAAAATTCCAAGCACAACCAAAGTATAATCCATATTTTTTGCCTTGGTCAGTTCGAGGTATTTTGGAAGACAAAAATGTCACCGGAAATCCTCGTTTCATAAACGAAGTTAACAGATTAAAGAAATTATATGAAGATTGGGATCCTTCTTCAAAAGCTTTGAAAGAATTAAAGTTTCGATTAGAACCTTTTCGTGATACTATTCTAGGCAAATGGAAGCTATAACAAAAAATTATTTGCTCTTGTACATATGAACTTTATAATTAAAAATCATTCATTCATTCTCAATTAAACTTGCTTTGTGTATTTCCAACAATAATGTTACGTCACAATACTAAATATAGATACAAGAGAGAATTTATTTATTTATACTCTCTTAAAAAGTTATTATTTTTTTTTTTTTTTGTACAGTTTCGTTTTATTAGAAAAAATACATAATTTTAATTTTTTAATCGAGCAGAGTTTAGGTATAAATTTTTATATTAAACCATAATATAATTTAATAAAAATCAGTAAACATAATGCGTTCGTACATACGTAAATTTCGTATGTACAATCGCTTAACTATAAGTATCAAGTTGCTTATTTCCTGTTTTTTTTGCATAACTATGACTACAAGATTGTACGTAGATGCAAATCAGGATCAATCAAAAGGCTTAAAGGGGCTTATCGTTATACGTACGTAAAACCAGATTGATGATTGCAAATAAGTTCATATGAAAAACTTTTCATTATGTTATATCATTCATACGCTATCGTTATACGTATCGTTTATTTTTAATATATACGATTTATTACTATATATGTGAACCCCAAGTACGTCCATACGTACATAGCTAAAATGTGTCTATACAATGATAAAAGTTATTCCGTCCAATATTTCCTAATTGTAATATTGACCCTGTATAAATCTTGTATAAGTCTCGTTTAGGTATTGTGGCAATTCATTAATCATAATCGAATGATTGTATTATCAAATTCTTTAAATTACTAAATTTTAACAACAAAAAAAAAAAGTACGTATTGTATCTAAATCTATGATAATTTCAAACATCCCATGATATTTTTTCAAACAATTTTAAATTAATAATATGTTGTAAAAAAAATCTGGTCATCAGCTCATGAGATGTTGTCATAATTTATAATTTTCTCCTTTCGTGCTACATATTTTTCTAGACAACAGTGTGAAAGGATTATTTCCGATTGGCTTAATAAATTTCCTATAAAATTAACTTTTTCAATATTAATACGTATCGATTTTTGTTTCAACCTAATACATTTGATTGTTTGGATCACCGATATACTAATTAATCAATATCATATGAAGTGCATTTAATCATGATATCAATATTATATAGTAACGGTTACTTTTTATGCATAAAAAAATTACTAACGCTAGTGTTTAAACTGTCGATTAACTTCGTGTGTAATTTATTTTAATTTTCATGATAAATGATCTGTATAGCATAATAAATTAAATTATATGACACATCATAAAAATGACTTTACAAAAAAATATATATACTTTTTTTTAAACATAAATGATAACCTGAAATTTATTTTTTTAAAAACTTGTGATTTTTTTAATTTAAAATTAAATTATTAAAGTAAATTGTAATTATTGAATAATTATTTTTGAATAATGAACTAGAGGTTGAAACCGGTTTTAATAATTCGGGTTTATCACGTGATTTTTGTGATACAATATAACCTTTCTAAACCAATATGCATGGTGTTTCAGCTTTTGTATTAGTTTTAACAGATTATCAATTTTGAAATATTAATAATCTATTAACTATATAGTTATAAACAAATATAATTAGATTTTTTTTAGAGGTGTGGCAACCTAGTAAAGTGGATAGGTTGTCAACCCTCAAGTGGCAGGTCTAAGGTTTAATTCTTATGAATGATGAATTTTGAAAACTATACTTGTGTTATGATAACTGTTTCTTGCCAATTGGTTGGGTTTTGGGCATTTGTAATCTTAGATACATCAAGTCAAGTTTCACTTGACATTGGAAGTTTGGGGCATTTATGCAAAGTGTAACATTACATATACATAGAAAAATATGATAAACCAGTATCATATAAGATTTTAGTGTAAATTTGTAATAAGATCATCAGACATAGAAGGCTAAGAAACCATGAAGATGAAAACTTATTTAGAAATCCTAAGTAAAGAGGTAGCACAAACTTTTAATAGTATTATTGAACCAATGAAAGCTTATAAAACATCTTTATAGAAATTGTCAGATAAACTGAATAACAAAATATATAGAAGAGCATATGATCAATTAGGTTGTTAGAATTATCAGAAGAAAAAAATATATAAGTATATTATACTAAATATCTGAATTAGAAGTTTAAAGAATCAGTTAGTTCTGAATTGCAACTAATAAAGAATGATAAAAAAAAAATCAGAAAGATGGGTACCAGGGTTTGGATGAATTTTATAAGAATAATAGTAGTTTAAAGAATAATTCTGATTACAAGTATTGGTCTCATTTGCCTCAAGAATAAAAATCGTCTAAGGATTATAGTCTTAAGGTTAATAGCGAATAGATCCAGGTCTGTGACCTGGTAAAATTAATACTAGGGTTAGATCAGAGGGTTTAAATCGAACACCTAAGCAGGGGTGTTAGGTACGGTAACTGGTAGGGAACCTTCGGGCAGACTTCTTAAATAGGTAATATAGAAAAGTTACATATGTATCCAGTTGTACACTTGTCTAATAGTTCATTATAGATACATTTATATAAACATGTACCTGCCATAAGTATTAATAAAAAGTTCGGACCAAAGAGGTCATTTTAATACCGGAAAAAAAAAAAAAAACAAGTATTGGTCTCAGTCATATTGTCAAATCAGATTAGTAATAAAAAGGAATATGGTTCATTCTGGTAAGTTTACTTTAAGGATAAAAATTATTTAAGGATTATAGTCTTATGGTTAAAAATAAATAGATCTGGATCTGTAATTTAGTGAAATTAATATTAGAGTCAGAACAAAGGGTTTAAATGAAACATCTAAGCAGAAGTGTTAAGTATAACAACTGATAAAAAACCTTCAGATGAATTTCTTAAATAGGCAATATAGAAAAGTTATACACATAGCCAGTTGTATACTCATCTGATAGTTTATTATAAATACATCTATATAAAACATGTATCTAATATAAGTATTAATAAAAAGCTATAACAAAAAGGTCACCTTAATATCAAAAAAAAAAATTTGGATTTTTTTCTTATATTTATATATTATACAAAACCTAATTTGAATTAATCAAATTAATTTATTTTACTATCAAATTTGATAGTTTATAAATATTCAATATTTAAGTATTAGCAATTACAAAACATGTTTTTTTTTATAAAAGTTTGAAATATTGTTTATATGAACATTTAGATGTTAATTGATTTTTATATAAAAATTTTATCTTAAAAAATATTTTTAATATAAAATAACATTTTAGAAACATTTTATTTAGTGAACGTTTGAAATTTAAAATATCTAACTATTAGTTAAATTACAATGTATATCAGTTTTTTTATTATATAAATTGAAGTTATATATCTGGTTGTTAGAAACAATTACAGCTAGTCTTCAAAAAGTCAATATAGAGAAAACAGAAAGTATAACAGGTAGTAACTACAAGATATTAATAATAATCATATAGTTAAAACACATAATTGTGAACCAGAGCTATGCAAAAACTAAATATAACAATCAAATAAAAATAATAGATTTATATAAAAAAGCAAAGCAAGAAAACTGAGAAGAATATGCTAAAAAGCTTCAAGCACAATTAGAATAAAAAAAAGTACTAAAGCAATTAAAAAAGATAGAAAAGGCTGTTTGTATAGTACAAATATGCTAGACTATATATAAAATGCAATAGAAGAAGCTATAATAGAGACAATAAATAAAAAAATTCTAAAAAAGAAGATATTCAATACAAAAATAAACAGAAGACATCATTAAAAGAAACCATAATAGTATAAGTATATAATTGAACTACAACAAATAATCAAAAAAACAAAAATAAAAAAAAACCAAGAGATAAAAAAAAAGAAAAAAAAGAGATAAACAAGAAACTTATAGACATTGATAAAGAAATAGAAGTAGTATTATTAAAGCTATACAAACAATGATCAAAAGCTTAGATAAATGATATAAAAGATTGGTAAAGAATTTTAAAACAAGAAAAGAAAAGTAGAAATGAGTTCAAAGAAAACAGATAGAAGAAAACAGATAAAAGAAAATATAAATAAAAAATATGAGATAATAAAAACTGATCAAAAATAAATAATTGTTAGCCTTTTGAATAAATCATACAAAAAAATAGTTCTGAACAGATTTATAATCCAAAAACTATACAAAAAGATAGTTCTAAACAGATTTATAATCCAAAGCGAAGATGAAGTCAGTTTAATGACAGAACTTAAATTTGTTTTAAATAGTTTAGCAAAGCATTTTGGAAATCACTTCAGAAAGCAAAAAACCAAACTAGAAGAAATGTCTAAGAAATGAATAGAAGTGTACAACACAAAAGAGTGAATTAAGGAGTCCTAATATGAAAAGTTAGAAGAAAAATTAGAAAAAGAGAAATAAAAAAACATATTAAAACCAATATAGCTCTAGAAATTTCAGGTTAAGTTACATTTTAATAAAATAAGCAAAAAAGAAATTACAAAAGATCTTTAAAGCCTTCACAAATCTGGTTTTAGAAATATAAGAAATGTCAAAAAAATGAAAAATAGCATAAGTCTATCCAATCTCAAAAAATGTAAACTGATAATATAATCTGAACAATATTAGACCAATAGCATTAATTGAGACCTTTAGAAAGTTAGTCACAAAAGTGGTAACAAGAAGGCTAGTCAAGATATTTACAGAAAAAGAAATATTTAAAGGTTCAAATTATGCAGACTTGCCTAACAACTTAACAGAGCAACTAATACATATGCTAAATATAATAATAAAAGAAGCACAAAAAAAAAATAAAAAAATATAAATACTTCTGCAAGATATAAAGAAGACATTTGACTTAGTTTTATTAGAAAGCTTGGAATGAACTTTTAAAAGAGTCAAAGTACTATAAAGAACAATAAAATATATTATTAATCTCTTCTGTAAACATCAACTTAAGATAATTATAGCTTATGGTTTAACAGAAGAAATAACAGCAGAAAATAGTATAGATCAAGAAGAGGTAATTTCTTTGC